CACCACCGAGAAGGCCCTGTCCCTCGTCCCCACCAATCGCGCTTGCGATGGAGGTGGGAACGTGAGCAGGGCCTCTCCAGATGATCAAAGAGATCGCGTGGGTTCGTATACCTGCAGTCACGCAGGTAGGTGGGTCTCAAACCGTTTAGGGCTTTGTAGGTAAGCACCTGCACCTTGAATTGAGACCGGAAAATGACCGATAGCCAATGGAGTTCCATAAACAGGAGGGTTGACTGCTCCCTGTTAACAATCTGGCCACTGCTCGTTGAACCATTTGAAATTCCCAGGCCGTTTTCAAGGGTAGCCCCACGTAGAGTGCATTACAGTAGTCCAATCTAGAGGTGACTAAGGCATGTGTGTGTGTATCTGGAGTTATACTTTAAAAAGTGTATCTATTCCAATTTACATAGAAATTCAACTTAAGAACAAACCTACAGAACTGAACTTGTTTGTAACTTGGGGACTAATTTAATATTTTAAATTATTTATGCCAAATCATATTTTAAGTATTTAATACATATTGTCAATTTTGCATTTTTCAATTTTTCTGCAAATTTGTTTTTTCCAAACATCCCAGGAAAAAAAACCCAGAGCACCATTCCCCCCAACCTATTTTTTTCAAGATTTCTGAACATTTCACATCTCCATGTAGTAGAGCAGTTAGTTGAATTTTACAATCCATGACACTATATAAGAAAGTATGGAAATTGGCAATAAATGATAAGCTGACATGTATATTAAAAGTTAAAAGAGGTATATGGAAACAAAGTGATTTTTGATTATGTATGGAGAAAATTTATTGAGAAAAGATTAAAAAATAAAGAAGGAAAGTTACCTCCACAAGAAGAATTGAAATTTTGGACAGATGATAGCCGTGGCTTGGGGGGGGGGGGGGAGCACAGCGGTGAGGAATAGATAATATGTATAAGCAGAAAAATAACACTAGATGCCAAAAGTTAAAGTATGGTAGGTTGTATTGAATAATATGTATCTGCTGGAATGTGTCCAGAGGGAGGGTGACTAAATGATCAAGGGTCTGGAGAACAAGCCCTATGAGGAGCGGCTTAAGGAGCTGGGCATGTTTAGCCTGAAGAAGAAAGGCTGAGAGGAGATATGATAGCCATGTATAAATATGTGAGAGGAAGCCACAGGGAGGAGGGAGCAAGCTTGTTTTCTACTTCTTTGGAGACTAGGATGCGGAACAATGGCTTCAAACTACAACAGAGGAGATTCCATCTGAACATGAGGAAGAACTTCCTGACTGTGAGAGCCGTTCAGCAGTGGAACTCTCTGCCCCAGAGTGTGGTGGAGGCTCCTTCTTTGGAAGCTTTTAAACAGAGGCTGGATGGCCATCTGTCAGGGGTGATTTGAATGCAATATTCATGCTTCTTGGCAGGGGGTTGGACTGGATGGCCCATGAGGTCTCTTCCAACTCTTTGATTCTATGATTCTATGATTCTAAGATAGATGGAATAACAAATGTATTGAACCATGATAAAATAATAAAAATATATATTTTAAAAATACAATCTACGACACTGGACAATGTTTTCTGCGGTAATCCTTAAAAAATACTCAGTTATTTAAGAGGGCTCATGTTGTTTGTTTTTTTTAAAAAAAACACGTAGCCACGTATATGTAGTCCTGTTTCCCAAAACAGATCCTTTTTTTTATCAATTTGAGGATTTGTGTTTTGCATGTAGAATATGTTTCCGCTGTGACATTGTTTTTGTTTATGGTGATTACCGGAGAGGCCCTGCTCACGATTCCACCTGCGTCGCAGGCTCGTTTGGTGGGGACGAGGGACAGGGCCTTCTCTGTGGTTGCCCCCCGACTTTGGAACACCCTCCCCAAAGACATTAGACTAGCACCCACGTTGGCAGTCTTTAGGAAGAACTTGAAGACCTGGCTATTCCGATGTGCCTTTCCAGAATAGGATAACCCCCAGCACTACGTCCCAGAAGCACTTTATTAGAGTTTAAGACTCTTTGCACATTGCACTTGCCCAGAATCCCAACATATCACCTCTCACCCAGCACTTTTTAACCTGTACCCTTCATTGGCCCAGCCTTGGTTTTATTGCGTAATAGTATAATGTTTTGTTTTTGTTATTGCTTATGTTTTTAATTTGCTTTGCATTGTATTGTTATTGTCTGTTGTTGTTGTTTGAGGCCTTGGCCTTTGTAAGCTGCATCGAGTCCTTCGGGAGATGCTAGCGGGGTACAAATAAAGTTTAATAATAATAATGTGTGCC